ATATATATATAAAACTTTATGTATGTAACAAGTTACGTTCTTTCATGACAAAATCATAAAAAACAACGTTTACAGTTGTTTTCGTAATCAAAATCACCAAAAAACGTTGAATACGTCCTTTGCATGCACAGTCACTTCTCAATTTTTTCATATGTATCCACGGAGTATATATATGAACAATTTTTAAAAGTTAAAGGTGCCAAACAATTATTTTACGCCTTTATTACATGCATAAAAAGAGCTTTAGCTCTTACTTACACCCTTAATCAAAAGTAGGAAAATGAGCGTTCAAAAGTAGAATACGTGCAATCCATGCTTATGAAAGTATAAAACATAAAATTTGATCTTTTAAAAGAATAATATCAAAAAATCTACTTTTTAAAAGTATAAATATCGTGTTTTCTACTTTTAAAAGTAAAAAATTTTGTTATTTCTACTTTTGAAAAGTACAAATGAATATTTTCTACATTCCAGAAGTTCTCTATTACATCTATACAGACAATGAAATTCGTTAAAAGTGAGTATTTACCTTAGGTAGTTCCAGCTCTAACGACATTTTTAATTTACTTCACTTCATTAAAATAAAAAAGTAACAAAACTGTCAAGTAAAAAGTATATAGATGCCTTTTGACTCGAACGAGGATTAACATGTTATGTCGACGTTGTTGTAGTTATTCCCAGTGTATACTACATATTGTACTTTTGAAAAGTATAATTTAATAATATTATACTATTAAAAGAAACAAATTTTGATGTAAACTTTTGGAAAGTATGAAAGACGTAATTTCTACTTTTTTCAAGATGAAATGACTTGATTAATTCTTTTCAAAGAAGGAAAGAAACGTTCCTACTGTTAAAAAGTGGGATTTTACGGTTTTCTACTTTTGTTTTGTATCATTTCTACTTTTGAACGTTCATTTTCCTACTATTGGTTAGGAGTGTAGCTTAGAAAAAAAAGAAAAAGAGCTATTAATTATTGAATGAATGTATACTATTAATTAAAGAATTAAAAAATAATTACTGTGAAAATTGATTGTAATATGTATGTGCAATAAAAAAAACTGCATCTGCTTTGTGTGATTAGTATATTTATACATTGGAGATTCAATTAATTTTACAAATCGTATCGAGTTTCTATGTATATTATTCCATTTTGAACAATACTTGAACAATATGCTGTTCTTATAACGAGGTTAATATTAGATAAAATAAAAGAATCATTGTTTGAAGTAT